AAGAGTTGTATGAGCCCCTAATAAAATGATTAAAACAAAACAAAAAAAACATACGAGGAAGACCATGAGGATCAAGAAGAAATAGGTTTTTTAAGTATTGAGAATGTTTAAGTAAATATATTTTATAAAGTAAGTCAGAGTCTAGATGACTTTGATGTTTCCAATGAGGTGCATCCAAAGAAGATGACTTCATGTATTGAAGTACAGAGTGAAGAAGATTCTTTTGTTTAAATGGAGTTAGTGCTTACCTTTAGCCTTAATAAAAACACATGTTTTCCTTCCTGAGTTATTTATGTAATGTCATCTCTTTGTTTTCTGTATGTCAGCACCAAGTAATTTTCTAAGAAAAACTCATAATGAAATTAATCTGCTGTTTTCTTTGTACTGGAAGGAAGGTCTAAGGTGCTTGGATTATATTTGCTTTCTCTCTGGACCCTGTAGACTTGGCATTATCTTCTGGCACCAGTGGATAATGCAGGAAAATCACAAGCCAAGTGATTTTCTACATGACTTAGTTTTTCTAACTGGTTGCTCCATGAGGTTTCTTTTGTTTACCATTTTAAGTTTGCTAATGCAATCAGAATATCTGTTGTTGAACATCTATTGTTGTACCAAAGTTCTCTGAATATCATCTATCTTATTTCAGAAGGGAAAAAATGTATTTTTTTCTCTACTATATTGAACTTTGTCTGTTTTCAAATGTTTATGTTCTGCTGAGGCACCCTGGTGGCATAGTTGATTATGAATTGTGCTGCTAAGTGCAAGGTTAGCAGTTTGAATCTACCAGCTACTTTGTAGGAGAAGGTGCTTTTTGCTGCCTTGGCCCTGAAAGGGGCATGGGACGCTGTCCTGTAGGGTCACGATGAGTCCGAATTGACTGCAGGGCAGGTTTGGCTTTGGTTTGACTGTCTTCTGGTGTCTTTTTCATGAGTCACAATTATGAATTGGTGCTTCATCCCTCGTATTTTTTTTATGTCTACCGTGTATACTCATGTACAAGCTAAGTTTTTCAGCACATTTTTAATGCAGTTTTTGTGGTAAAATTAGGTGCCTTGGCTGATATTTGGGTCGTCTTATTCTGGAGTATATATGGTATATGTTATTGCACACTTATTTAGATTACTTTGTGTGTAGTCTCTGTAGACTATAAAACAGCTCTGATTATGTATCTACAGTTAAAACCAATGGCTTTTTTTGCTTTAAATATGATTTTTTATGGGTATATGATTTTCATTTCTAGTCTTTTATTCTGGAATTCTTTCCAGTTTACATTTTATTTCTGCAGGTTTTCTATTTTTAATGTAGCATTTCTTTGCAGCTCTGTGTCCACTTTGATGTTTGCTTCCTGCGACTATATGGCCCATCATATGTATGAAACTATTCTGTCTTTATTTTATTACCTTTTTTCTTTTTCTATTTCTAATCACTTTCTGATTCCCTTGCGACTTTTATACGCATTTTTAATGAATTTAGCTATTTGTTGAAAAAATGTTAGGAGGTGGCCAGGAAGTAAAGTGTGGAGCAGTCTACAATTTTGAGTTAGGCTTATAGTCTGAGGCAGACTCATTGGTCAGACTTTCTGGTGTGCTGACATTGTCCCCTCTCCATTATTTATCTTGCTTCGCCTCTGGTTAGGAAGTTGGTTTGCAATACAAGTGGCATTTCACCTTAACTGCAGTTACATGGTTTTAAATGAAATATCTCTGGATGTCTTTCCCACTTCTCTGGTGACCAACTCTTGCACCTAGTTGAGAGTTCGTATCCATATCGGGTTGCTGTGGGTCAGCATTAGCTGATGGCAGTGAGTGGTTTTGTTGTTGTTGTTATGTTTTATCAAAATGTTATATAAGCTTTTCAAGATTATGACCTTCATGGATATACATATATATATATATATAATATATATAATTGATTGAATTCTGAGGAGGTATTTATCCATTTTCAGCACTTTTCTTAATTATGATCCAAATTTCACAGTGCTTGTCACATCTGCCTGATATTTTTTGGCTAAGAGTTTTGACCATCTCTTAGTATCACTAAAGCTAAATTCCTTCTCCCCATAGAGTCATTAGAGGGGCGTAGAACAAAAATGCCTTTAATATACTACCTAAATCTGAAATCCACATTTATCTTTAGAAGGGTGATTCTGGTACAGGCTAGCAAAGGTTTTACAATCAGAAAACAGATAAATAAGTTGCAAACAGCTAGCATTTGGATCTGTATCAGGAATCATTGAACAGTACTGTATTGGGATTATTCTAACCAATGGAATTATTTACTGACCTATGTGATTAATTTCCAGTATATGTACATATATGTTATAAATGTATCATAGGGAAATGACTAAGTACTTGATGAACCTTACAATAGACGGTGATGTGGGAGAGTAAATATGCTTTTAAAAGAGAACCAGATGCTAGGAAAAATTTTGGCTGCACTGAAGAATCCTGGCCTTGGGTCTCTGTGGTTCTTTAAATGGCTAGGACCAGTTTCCTCTATTCCCTGGCCTAAATTAAATCATGGAGGCTTGGCAGGAGGAACTGGACTTAAAGCTTTCAGTGAGGTCGGCCCCTGCCCTGCTCGTGCAGGTTCAGTTAGTACTTGGGGAAAGGAAGGTTCAGAGTAATCATGGGAGTTGGAAGTCATGATCAAAAACTTTCAATGCTATTTTGTCTATGACTAAATGTTGTGTAATACATTAGGAGGGGGAAAAGTACAGTACATACAAATAGAACATTTTGACTGTGCATCCACTTGAATAAAAGAAAACATCTCAATGGATGACTGCCTGGGAATGATTGGATATTAAGTACTTACTTAGTATTATATTTGTACAAAATGGATTTTTAACATGAGAATCATTTAAAATATATTTTAGCTTTTACTCCAGAATGTTTGTTACTTCTATACCAAGAGGAAATTTATAGACAAAAATCTCTTGATTTGCTTCCAAGGTTCGGCATTTTAAAAACACCCTTTTATTAAGAACCACTCAGGCCTCAGTATGAATAAGTAATACACAGAAAGAAGGAGCATTTTAAGAATACCCTATAGATACATTTGTTTCCACCTGTCTAGGGGAAACAAAGCCCCACACAAATAAAGAATATAACAAGATGGTAGGTCTCTATTAGATTCTATTTGATTCTATTAGCTTCTATTAGGTTTCATTAGATTCTCTTAGATTCTGTTTGATTCTATTAGCTTCTATTAGATTCTATTTGAGTCTCTTAGATTCTATTAGCTTCTATTAGCTTCTAGAAGAGTTTCTTGTTCTTTCATCGGGGTTGCAGTTGTTTTCCAGTGAGAAGTCAGCTCCAGGGACAGAAAGGAATCCGTTCAGAATTGTATGGATATGCAAAGCAATATAGGTAATTGGACAGGGCTTTGAAATTTTGTTGTTGTGCTACTTGATAAATGGAGGATTCCATGGGTAGAAAATATAACCTTCTGGATTCACAAATTATATTGCTTCTGAAGATATTTTTGTTTAGTTAAAAGCTTAGCACTGCCAAGTATAATAAAATATCTGGTTGCAAATTGTAATTCCAGGTGGTAGACAAAACTACAATAATCTTGGAAATCCAACTAAAAGAAAAGCAGTTACAATCTTTTGAAATGTTCCCAAGGACTGAATTGGTCCTGGTTTTCAGTTTTCTTCCTAAATAGCCCCTTGCAAATAAAATTATAATGATATTTATAGTGGTTGGTCAAAAAAAGTGATAGTAACAGTATTAGATTTAGCTATTTTAAACTTGGCTTAAACCAAATTTGTCATTTTAATTATAGACATCTTAGGAAAACGAAATTGATAGTAACGTCTACAAACAGAATCGTCTGCAAACAATTGCTTGTGATACTGTTAAGTGAGAGCACCACCACCACTGCCGTGCAGTGACCGACTCACAGCAACCCTGCAGGACACAGTTTCTGAAGCTGTAACTCTTGTCTTTCTCCCATGGAGCTGGGGATGGTTTCAAACTGCTGACCTAGAGGTTAGCAGCCCGCCTCAGAACCACTGTGCCACCAAGGCTCTTTCAGGAAGTAAGAAAGCTTGGGGGAATTTTGACATGCTTTTGAACCGTGAGCATCAACTGTTCACAGGTCATTAGGATGGTTTTTACTGAGTATTATACTAAGCGTTGTTAGTTGCCATCAAACCAGTTACAACTCAGTGACCCTCCGCACATCCGAACGCCGTGCGTCATCCTAGAATCATTGCTGTGGTTGAGTTCACTGTGCAGCCACTGTGTCCCTCCATCTCACAGAGGCTCGTCCACGTTTTCACTGACCCTCTGTTTTCACAAAACACGATGGCCTTCTCCAGGGACGGATCCCCTTAAATACCATTTCTAACCCACCCTAGGTAAACTTGCCAACCTCACTTCTAAAGAGCATTCTGGCTGTATGTCTAATAAAAATGTGTTTCTTTTCCTGCCACTCCATGATACTTTAAATATCTCATGCCTGTACCATAATTCAAATACACTCAGTATTCTCTGGTCTTCCTTATTCATTGTGCGGCTTTCATGTGCAGTTGAAGAGCTTGAAAAATACCATGGGCTTGGTTCATGGTATGACATGAATCAGGCATATGCTAGTTCTCAAAATGATTATTTTTGCTCTTTAACAGTTTAAAGAGGCCTTTTGTAGCACATTTTTCCATTGTAATACATCATTTGAAATTTTGACCTCTGGCATCATGGACATTGAATGTGAATCTAACTAAAATTAAATCCTTGATGGATTCAATAATTTCTCTATTTGTCACAATTTTGCTTATTGGTCCAGCGTGAGGAGCTTGTTTTCTTTACATTGAGGTAGAAGTCTTGGCTCTTCATCAGTAATTGCTTCAAGTTCTTTTTGTTTTCAGCAAGAGGACTGCGTCCTCTGTAGGTCGTCGGCTGATCATAAGCCTTCCTCCAATCCTGATGCTGTACTCTCTCAGTATACTGAAATAAATGAATTTTGCCACCTCTGTCACGGAGTTTGATGGAGCCAGAATTTGTTGCTATCTTCCTGGGATCTGCTTGCCAATTATGAATACATTCTTTGTAGATCGGTTTGGTCAAAGGAATATTGTAAGTAAGGTTGTAAAGGGTTTAGTGATCCCGAGAAAGAAAGACTCAATGGACCCCATTTCCTGCTTCTCTTTCAGGGCATATGGGTCAGTACGTACATATTTACAATATGTTTTGCTGCCAATGTGGGACTGCTGTTTGGTGTTGTCTGTACCATAGCTATAGTGATCGCACGCTTCCCAAGGTAAGATCTTATCTGCGTGCACTGTTTATTATGGTAGAGCAGCAGCTCTGAGGATGTTGCTGGTTACTTCTGGTTCTTACATGAGAGTACTACAATCTCTTGTTTTACTTGGTATTAGAATATTATATGCAAATAGATAAAAAAGTTCTATAACATCGTTGATCTCTATGAAGAGAAATATCCTGTTATTACTGTAAATTTCAATATCTACCTGGTGATACATCAGTTAAGTGCTTGACAGCTAATCCAAAGGTTGGTGGTTTAAAACTACGCAGTGGAGAAAGAACTGATGATCTACTTCCACAAAGATTTCCCCCATTAGAAAGCCCTATGAGGCAGTCGATTCTGTCACTTAGGGGTCAATATGAGCTGCCATTGACTTATTGGCACTAAACAATAACAACTACAATTAAAGTAAATAAGTTAGCTCAACACCCATATACTCTATCCCATAGTTTGTATTCTTGTATTGCACGAGAGAAAGCAGTAATCAATATCATAGATACACAGACCCATAGTAAGAGGATTAATTATTTGGGAAATTAAATAACCTAAGTAAGTTTTCCTTTTCAGAGGCCAGATAAATACCTAATAAAAATATTTCAAGATAACATTTTGAGGAACACAAACCTCTCCCTTGGTCTGTCTTTCTTGAGCATCTGTAAACCATCCTCCACTCTTGGCCAATGAGCTCCCTTTGTTCCCAGCCCTCATCTTGTGCGCATGCTCTACTCACTTCTGATCCTGCCCGTGGAATTTTTCATGAAATAACATGTTCTTAAAATTGCAAAGTTTTACTTCTACAGAGTCTATCTGTATAAAATCTGTATAGATCCATAAATTCCTAGCTTTAATGGCTTTCATTCTGTCTTTATTTCCTTTCATTAAAAGAAGAGTTTGTTAAACATGCATACAATCTAGCCTTTTATCTTTTGCAGTTCTTTTTTTAAAAATTTTCTGTTTGTGGCTAGTGGTATAAAGTCTTGGGAAGTCAAATGAGATGAATTACATTGATGAATTTCTCCTTTGAAGTCCCCTTTGTTTCATTCAATGCTGAGCATACACAGACGCATAGATTGCACAGTGCTTTCTGAACAAATGGTTCATAGAATCTAAGTCAGTTCAGATGCCATCTAATCATTCAGGTAAAATGGCATCCTTTCTGTTTCTTTATGCTTATATTGTGATTAAGAACTGACTTGCTTTATTTTCTATTTTCCTTAATTTTAGAGCAAAGACTGTGAGTATAAAAAACATGAAAGAAATGGAATTTAAAGTGAAGACAGAAATGGATGGTGTAAGTTTAGTTTTCTTTTTCTTCTGTGCAGTTATTGATATTTTTATGAGTCAGATTGTTTTAAGATATCATAAGAAGCAGATGAATTATGACATTTAAAAGAAGAATAATTCATTTTTAATGAGGTAGGGACTTTTAATGACACAAATGAGATACCACACATATGGTGATCCTTAGTCAGGAATAAACAAGACAAAACAAAACCCCTCCTCATATTAACATGCTGACAAGACTATAGTATGTCCACATGGCCAGTAAATTCCTGGCCAGATAAGATTTGGCATTTGGAAATACCCGTTCTCTTACTTAGTTAGTTACATGAAACTTGCACCCTAAGCTAACAGTCCATTCTGAATTATGTGCTGGAAGAAGATAGAAAGTGGGAAGGGAGATAAAACAAAACAGGTTTCTAACAATTATTTGTTTAATTATAATTTTTAATTTTTATCCTCAATCAGTGAAATCATATTAGCAGAGGGTCATTAAGTTCAATGGTTAAGAAAAGCTGGTAGGTCCAATGTTTTGCACAGTGGACATCTTTTACAGCTAACATAAATTGCCCTACCCTGGCCATGCCTAGACAGGACAATCGATTGTGTCAATTTAGTTTCCTGTTCCCAGAAATGACCAAACCAGTTTAAAGTGAGGAGAAAAATGTTGATGTGAATTTTCTGCCAGTTTCTAAAAATTGGCCTCCCTTTAAACCTGCTTTATAAATGTTTGATTAACCTCTCCCCGGCACCCCCTTTGTTTTTTCATGTTCACTTGCTTCAGCACCTCATGACTCCCTTTAGAACAGCAAGAGCTGGCCTTCACTAAAATGACCCCAGTCAGGGCTTGTTCCAAGTAGACGTGAAGGAGAGGAGCCTCGAGTCTGTGATATCCAGGGCTTGTGGAAAAGATCGACTTGTGTGGTTAATAAGCATGGACAGGCTTCCTTCCAAGGGAGACATGTTTGAGCTTAGGTCGTTAGAAGGAAATTTCCACAAATGCTACCTTGATGTCCTTGTCCTATACCTTGTCTTTTTCCTTAACATTTTGATGGGAATTCAGTGTTCATTTGAAGTCCCAGACTGAAGCGTCGTGCCCCTGGGATCCTTTGTGTATCGACATTCTTAACTTTGATGTAAAATTGAATTTAGGGTTCAACTTTTCTAAAGCAAAGACCCAACTAGTTTATAAATTCTGTCTAATCCTTATCTTGAGACAGAATTTACACTAGTGAATGAAATGAGAACTAAATGTCTCATGAAAACTCTGCGAACACGAGGTGTTGAAGGGAACAGGCAGCAGACACCAAAGAACAAAAACCATCATTGTGTGACCACCTTACCCACAGAAATGCTGAAGACGAATATGTGCATAAGTAAGTGTGGTGAAGAAGGCTGATGGTGTCCACTATCGAGACCTATAGCGTCTGGGGACTTAAAGGCTTGAAAGTAAACAAACGGCCATCTAGCCCAGAAGCAACAAAGCCCACATGGAAGCAGCACACCAACATGTGTGATCATGAAGGGCCAAAGGGACCAGGCTTCAAACACCAAAGGCGGGGAGGAATCATATTCTCGTCAATGAGGGTGGCGCATGATGGGGACCCAATGCCCATCTCTAGACAACTGGAGATACCTTGCAGAGGGGTAGTGGGGAGATGAGTCACTTAGGGTTCAGTATAGCAATAATGAAACCCACAACCTTCCTCTAGTTCTTAAACGCTTCCTCCCCCCAACTACCATGACCCCAATTCTGCCTTGCAGACCTGGTTAGACCAGATGATGCACAGTGGTACAGATGGGAATTGGAAATGTAGGGAATCTAGTACAGATGAACCCCTAAGGACCAGGGGTGACAGTGGCGATACCAGGAGGGAAGGGGGGGGTGTAGAAAGGGGGAGTTGATCACAGGGAGCTACATATAACCTCCTCTCTGGGGGACAGGCAGCAGAGGGGTAGGTGAAGGGAGACGCCAGGCAGTGTAATATAAGATATAATAATAATTTATAAATTATCAAGGGTGCATGGGGGAGGGGGGCAGAGGGAGGGAGGGGGAGGGGGAAAAAGGAAAACGAGCTGATTCCGGGAACCCAAGAGGCAAGTGAATTTTGTGAATAATGAGGGCAACAAATGTATAGAAGTGCTTTACACAATTGATATATGTATTGTGGTGAATTGTATGAGCCCCAATAAATTGATTTAAAAAAAAAGAAAATATAAATTTTAATAGACTACCACATCTCACTGTTTAATTATAACTTAAACAAAATGCAGTCATGTTCCTTTCCTCCACTATTACTTTCCCAAATCCTTTTCATGTGAAATATGCTTTCCCAATTAGGGAGATTTCTTCCCGCTCAGTACTGTCAACCTCATTGAGAATTCCTGTTTTAGAACTATTAATATCTCTATTATTTAACAAAACCAGCAATCACAAGATATACTTTTCCAAGGACAATGGCCTATTCATTGGAAATACCTTTTTCAACACAAATGGTGACTATATACACAGACCTCCCCAGACAGAATACACAGGAATCAAATTGACTACAACTGGGGGAAAAAAAAGAAGAGAGAGAAACTCAATATCAAAAGTCAGAACAAGGCCAAGGTTCAACTGAGGAACACACCATCAACTACTCCCCTACTCGTTCAAGTCGGAGCTGAAACAAATTGAAACAAGGCCACAAGAGTCAGAACACACCCTTGAAAATATCTCACCTAAATTGAGAGATCATTTCAAGAGCAGATTTGATGCACTAGACACTAATGACTAAAAACGAGACAAGTTGTGGGCTGGCATCAAAAGGTCATTAAAAGGACAAGAAAGAAAGGAAGGAAGGAAGAAAAAACCAAAATGGATGTTAGAAGAGATTCTAAGACTTGTTCTTGAACGTATTTGTTGTTGTTAGGTGTTGTTGAGCTGGATCCAACTCAACATGAGCCTGTGCACTAAAGAGGAAACTCCCCGGTTTTGTGCCACGGTCACAGATGTGGTAGGCAAAACTCTGAGAGCCCAGTGTTGCCGCCACTGTAGCAATTCAATTCCTTGAGGCTCTTCCTCTTTTTTTGCTGACCTACTTCCCAAGCATGGGGTCATTTCCCAGGGGCTGTTCTCTCTCAGTGACACATCCAAAGTGTATTAACATGAAATCTCATCATTCTCATTTCTAAGGAGTATTCTAGCTGTAATTTTTCCAAGGCAGATTTGTGTATTTTCTGACAATCCAGTATTCTTATCAAACCATCACTAAAATATACCAGTTCTTCTTCCGTCTTCCTTTTTGCACTGTCTAGCTTTCACATGCATGACGGGATTGGAAATGGCCTGGCTTGGGACAGGCACCCCTAAATCTTCAAAGGGACACCCTTGTTCTTTAATTCCTTAAAGAGGTCTTGTACAACCAATTTGGCCAATGTGTCATTTGATTATTTTTATTGATTGTTACTTCTATGAACATTGACCATGGATCCAAGCAAGATGAAATTCTTGGCAACATCAATATTTTTTCCACTTGTCATGATGATGTATGTTGCTCCAGTTAAGAGGATTTTTTTTCAAGTAGCATTAAAAAATAATTGGGATTTTATCATATAATTCCGTAGTTCAATCACACCAAGCAGTATTGTACAATTTTTACCACAACTAGATTCCAAACATTCTTTCCTTCCTGAACTCCTTGACACTATCTCTATTTTATAAGCCCCTCTCCACTGTATCCCCCTCCCACCCAGAAACCCTTATTCTGCTAGCTGTACCTATAGATTCATCAATCCTGGGTTTCATATACTGAAAAAACAGAAAAACATAAAACACAAATTCAAGATGGTGACCCCAATGATATAAAACACTTCTGAGATAAACCCTAATATGAACAAAACAAAAATATAGAAAATGTTGAAAACCAGTGTGTGTCAACATGGCGATTAGCTGACAAAATTTTAACTGTTGATCTTCTGGACTCAGCTCCCCAATCACTCTGCTTAATAACCACTTTCTTCCCCTCCCTCATTTGTAGAGAGAGGGAGATTACTGGAGGCTTGTTTCCTCTTTAGTTCCCACAAATGTATCTCGGGCTCCCACTGTATAATCCGCACCGAAGGCTGTAGTCCTTCATCTGCATTAGCAAGTGCTTCAAGTCGTCCTCACTTTCAGCAAGCAAGGTTGTGATTGATATCTGTACGTAGCAAGTTGTTAACAAATCTTACAAATGCTAGTCTAGCTTCTTGTACTATTTTCTCAACATATAAATTGATTAAGTGTGGTGAAAAGATACAACCCTGACAACACACCCTTCCTGATTTTACAAGATGCAATATTCCCTTTTTCTGTTCAAGTGACTATGTGTTGGTCCGTGTCAGATTCCATATAAACACAATGAAGTGCATACGTTCAGTCAAATTCCTTATTATAGTCAATAAAACACAAATAAACCTTCTTCTGACATTCATCCATTTGAGGAATAATAAAGAAAACTAAAATCCCCACAGTAGGCAACATCACCAAGAAATGGAAAGGAGAGAAATGCACGCTGCTCTGAAGGCATGGTGAAAGGAAGGCCACAAAAAGGGCAGAATAATAAGTGAGATGCTTCAACAAATGGATGCAGTGCTGGAAGTATTCATTTGTGTATGCCACAAAATTGTGAAGCCAGTTACCTGACTGTATTTATGCCCACTCTAAAAACAGGTGATCCAACAAAATGTGGAAATTATTGGAGAATATTGTTAATATCACATGAATATAAATGTTGCTGAGGATTATTGAAACATTGTAGCAGTAAATCGATTGGTTGTTGCCAGAAATTCAAGCTGGATTCAGAAGAGGATATGTAGAAAGAACATGGGATATCATTGTTGATGTCAGATGGAACTTAGCTGAAAGTAAAGAATATTTGAATATTTACTTGTGTTTTATTGACTATCCAAAGACATAACTGTTTTGATCTTAACAAACTATAAACAACATTGCTGATAATGTAAATTTCAGAAGATGCAATTGTGCACATGTGGGATCAGTACATAGACCAAGAGGCAAATCATTCAAATGTTGCATGGTTGAAAGTCAGGAGAGGAGTGTTCCAGGGTTATATTCTTTTACTGTACTTATCCAGTCTGTATGTGGAGCAAATTACCTGACAAACTGGGCAAGGCGGGAAAAAAAGGTTGGCATCAAGATTAGAGACAGACCAATTAATAATCTGTGATTTTCAGTTGACAAAATACTGAAGATGAAGAAAGTTTGAAGCACTTTACTGACAAAGATCAAAGACTATAGCTTTCAGTTTGGATTGCACCCGTGCATAATTTTTTTTTAAAATCCTTACAACTGGAATAATAAGAAATGCCATAATAAATAGAGAAAATAATTGAAGTTATCAGATTTTGTTTTACTTGGCTCCATAATCAATACCCATGGAAGCAGGAGTCTACAAATTAAAAGACTTAATAAAATGGGCAAATCTGCTTTAAAAGACTAATTGAAAGTGATAAAAAGCAAAGCTATTAACATCGAGGGCAGAGATACTTCTGCCCCCAAGTCTGTTGCTTTCAATCAACTCACATGCAGGCAAAGTTGGACAATTAATAGAACGTCCAAAGAAGAACTGATTATGGTGTTGGCTAAGAATATTGAATTTACCATAGATTTCCAGAAAAATTAACAAGTCTGTCTTGAAAAAAGGAGAGCAAAAATGATCCTTAGAAGGAGGGAGAGTGAGACTTCATCTCATGTACTTTACACTTGTTATCAGGAGGAATGAGTATCATAACCAAACACTTTGAAGTAATACATCCATTGCTTTGGGGGATTAGGGCCACTCTTTTGGGGACAGTTAACTCAATTGGCACAATGTAGTTTACAAAGACAATATTCCACCCCCAACTTTGTCCAATAGAGACAGGGGGTGTTAATAGTGAGCAGTTCTTGGAAGTGCAACCGTTGTTCTTTCTTCAGGTGAAGCAGCGAAGAATGAAGACAATCAAAGACACAAGCAAAAACAGAAACAAAAAGTCCAATGGGCCATATAAACTTCAGTCTTTTTTAACTCTTAAGAACAAAAGAACTAGATGGTATCCAGCTGCCACTACCAAATGTTCTGGAACAGATCATTTTAGAAGGTTCTGGATAGAATGGGAGAAATATGTGGGACAGAACTCAAAATCATAAAAGAGACCAGGATGATTGGTCTGGAAAGAGAATGGTAGAAGTCTTGAGAATTTGACCCTTCATCACCCTTCAGGTCTGGAAATGAGCTCCCACCCCTCCTCCCCTGGGGCTCAACATTAACACTGGAGTGGTAAGCACTCCTTAGAACATCTAACCATTTGAGATCAAACCAGCAGTAGGAAAAAGCCCAGAAGGCAGGAAGGGATTAGAAAGAAGAAGGAATAGAAACAGGGAGAAATTGGAGCGTGCTGACCAATTGTGGGGATAACAGAGTATCATGAAAATGTGCAAATTGTTGCAAGGAAAACCAATCTGTTCTGTAAACTTTCACTCAAATCACAATAAAAAGTTAAGGAAGGAAGGAACAAAGAATGAATGAGTACAGGGGAACCGATCACAAGGATCAATCTAGAACCCCCTCCCAGGGGCACGGATAATGGAAAAGTGGGCGAGGGGAGACGGAGGATGATGTAAGCTTTGGAAAAAATAATCTATAACTTATCAAGTGTTCATGAGGGAGGGTGGGTGTGGGGGAAGGGGAAAGAAATGGGCGTGGATATCAGGCTCAAGTGGGAAGAGAATGCTTTGAAAATGATGATGGTGGTGTATGTGCAAATGTGCTTGACACACTGGAGGAATGTATGGATTGTGATAAGAGCTGCAAGAGTCCCCAATAAAAGTATTTAAAAAAGAAAGAAAGCCTACAGGAGGGACCATTGCCGGGACAGGACGTCAGATTGAGTAGCGGGTCAGTGAAACAGAGGAAGACTTCTAAGAGGTGGACGGCACAGTGGCTGCCAAAATGGACTGAAGGCTGACAACCATTGTGAGCATGGCGCAGGACCAGACAGCATTCGCTTTCTGATTATTATGTATCTATAATCAGAAACCCAACAGAACCTAACCGCAGGGACAATTCTTCAACAATGCTTAACTTCTTCTTATTGTCTTAAAACAACACATTACCACAACCACGTGGTATAATCAGCGGGGCAATTTAAGATTTAGTGCTTAGTGATAACTCAATAGGACAGGACTCAGTATTTTGATGTTTTATTTTTGGTTAAGAAGTTTACTCTTGATTAAATTTAAAACAAAGGGATTTTTGTGTGGGTTTTTTTTGTATTGGTTTTTCTTCCCCTCCTGGGTTATTTGTAGCAAATCTCCTCGTTTTCTAGAGTTCAGTCCATCTTGTAGAGTGACAACTTTTAATATTATCCAATTTAAACATCTACATGTCTTTTTATCTTTAAAGATAAAAAGCAAAGATGTTAAAGAAATTTTCTGAATTCACATGCCTAATAATCTCTCTCCTTCCTGTATGTCCCCTGTGTGCACACATTGCTCTTCTTGTTATCTTCTCTTTTATGTGAGTACTGATGCCTTGGGTCTGTTGTTTTATTTAGTGAGTAAGGCACCATCATTTCTTAGAATTTACTATCCTCTCAATTTCTAGTTTAGACACCTCTCCCAAAGGTCATAGGGAAGATGGTTTTAATTACACCCCACCACTCACTGGCTGACAAACCTGGAGCAACATGGCCAACGCAGAGTACCTTGGTTCTGAAACTTTTCTCTTTCTGCATCTCTCATCTACCCCTCGACAATTAAACGTAGCCTAGGCCTTTCTACAGGGAATCTATATTCTGAGAGTACCTCTCTTTATTGCTCTCCTTTTAGGACTATAAATCACTCCGAGGGTTTTATATCAGCCAAAGGAAAGCGATGTCATTTGGAAGTAAATGACTGATGGATGACCCTCTAGTCCACATTTTCATCTTTTACAAATGCTATTGGTTAATTTGTTTTTAAACTTGGGAGATTGAGTGGAAGAGGCAATTTTGGCAGGGTAGGTCATCTTGGCACCGTTTGAGCATTCTACACTGCTGCCAGAATTGGATTACAATAAATATAGTAAGCACAGGCTTACTTGTGTTTACTTATTAATCTGCTGAGAACAATTTCACACAGTGTCACCATGAGACGTAAAGATATAAAGTATGTTAAGCATCTGTGCTCTACAGATTAATAAGTAAGCACAAGTAAGCTTGTGCTTATTTTGCCATGGAGCACTCCATCTCTGCCAGGGATTATAATTTGCAAAGAGGCTTTGATTATGTAGAAAGATGCTATGGAGTTAACACAGAATCTTCAATGTGGTGAAATAATATGAAATTGTTCACTACGTGTTGGTAAGTAAGCATAAGTAAATCTGTGCTTATCTTGCTGAATGGGGAATCCAACACTGGCTGCTGCTCCCCCAAGCCCATTCTGTCAGATTAGGGGGTACTTTCTGAGGGGCTTAAAGTCTGACTCATAGTTACTGATATCTCTTAGTGAAGAACAAGTACTCCTTTCTCTTAAGGAGATGGATAGAAGATTTAATTTCCTAATAAATTTTAACAATGAAGATGTTAGCTGAAAGGTTGTTTTCACAGTCAAGAGACATTGAACCTTGTTTGATTTAGACACATTAGATACATTAGATATACCTATTCTCGTTTACATAACTTGGAGTTCTGAATGCATCTTTTTTATTTCCCCAAAGGAAATCTTACAACAGGTGAAAATTATCTCCGTAAACAGTCCACTTGTTTTTCTGAATGCAAAGAAGTTTCACACTGATCTAATGAACATAATTGAAAAGGGAAATGCCGGTAATCAGCCATTTGATGATCTCAGCAAGGTAGGGTCCCTGAGTTATGATGAGAAAAATCCTACTACAGGTCGCTGAGCAATTATTTTCTACTGAAAAATTTTTTACTGTAAATATGATGCATTATAAGTATTTGAAGACTTTGTATTCCAAAAAACCCTAATATTGGCTTGCAGTTTTTATGTCATTCTTGTAGCGAGCACTTAGGTATGCGTTCTCCTATTTGTTCAGTCATTTATCCACCATCTATCTAATGAACATGTGTACCACGTCCTGTAACTCTGAGAAGAATAAGACATGGCACTGAGCATAAAGGACATTTTACCAGAGAGAGAAGATGGACATGAAGAACCCTAAGATTTGGAGACAAACTATAACAAACAGCTTTGGGGAAGCAAGGACTGTTGCCCTGATGGCGAGGACTTTTTAGTCTCATGAAATGTCACCAGTCCTTACCTCCTTAGGTTTCTCCCGTGAGCAGAGATACTGGGCCAAATATGCAACTGTCTGAGTGAACAAATCCTTAAGTTCTCTGTTACGTAATATGGTATTCAAGAACATGGTCTTTGAAGCTTAACTGCTTGGGCTTACCATTTTATTCTTGTGGGTTCTTGGGTGAGTTATTGAGTACTTTTGTGTTATATAGTCCTCATCTGAAATCAAGCTGATTCTATGAGCTAATATGTACAAAGCACTTAGATTATTGCCTAGCACTTAGTCAATACTATTAAGTATTGTCTTGTGTTGTCATTAGGGTCGAGTGCAACTTCTCTTCTCCCCATAAAGCCTTCCTTGTCTAGTGCAGATCATGAAGATTGTTTCCTTCTCCTTTATCTTTGAGCCCTCTGGTCTCTGGGGCATCAGTTGTGGTCTGCACCAGATTCCTGTTCTTTTTTACTCATGCTTATGCCCCTGGGCCTCATCCTGATCCTTATGCTAGAGCAGGGATGGGGAACCTTTTTCCTTGCCAGGGCCATGTGGGTACTTTGTAAAGAGGGCTCAGTTCAACTCACTTCCGTGGAACAGTTAATATACTGGGAGTCCTTCAACTCACGAGAGCCACTGGGTCCCAGGTCAAGGAAGCAGACAGCTGAGTCTTCCCCAGACAGTATAGGCAGTCTGGCCATAGGTAGCAGACAGTAGGGCAGGTCACCAACAGTCAGCAAGACGAC